GGGGGGGGGTCGTATTCCCATTTCCCAGCCCAAATTTTGACTAAATCCCATTGTCCCAGAGCACAAATCCCATCATCTCAGTGGCTGTCCTGCTCAAACCTTAATCCCATTCCCATTTTCTATTGTTTTTTTTTTGCTGATGAATCCCAGTCCCAGTGCATGAAATCCCATTTTCCCACCCAAAAATAAGCAAATCCCAGTTCCCATTTTACCCCTTCACGACCCTCTCAGTTCACTCAAACATTTCTTAGCCTATTTAAAATTAACATATGCGAAATTCCTACTGTAATCACAGAAACTTTGAAAGTGTAAACAAACTTTTAACAATTAAGGGTCTTGCTGGGGGTAATTCAATAACATTATAAGCACCAAAGCTTTTGGTTTTATGCATCGGACAGTGTAACATTTATAAGTTTGGAGTATGATATTATAATATTAAAATTTCGAATGTGTCAGCTTAACAGTAAAATCTAAAGTTTTCCCTAAAGTAGAATTTCAGCTCCTTTTTTTAATCAACACTTTACACTTTAGCAAAGGGGAAACAACCGACTAACTAAAACAATAAACCGCAATGCTGTATCCTGTCAGGTGCGGTGAAAACCACAATCAATCCACGCGCTTCTTGTTTTTGATTAATTTAACTATACTCTGAAGATTCTCATTTTTTTTTCAACCACTAATTGTGGTGGTTAGATCTTATGATCTTATAGCTACATGTTTTTTAAAGGAACAGGTAATTGCATCCCTAATAACGAGAGCTTAATGCGATGAATTAGATTAATGCGCGTGCGCTATTTATAGCCTAGAGAATTATAGCTACATACACATGCATGCCGTCGCGTGTACTCGCTGTACAATTACAGCAATTACGACAACATCAATTAAAAACATTTCCAAATCTATCATGTTATCTGTCATATATCATGTTATGTGAGTCAACCCTATTCAATATACTATCTTTTTACAATTGCTATAACTTGCTAGTTTATATTACCTTTTACAATTCCTATACGTTTATTTTTCAGTAAATTTAACTAGGCGATTCATTATTGTCAGCCAAAAAGATATATAGCGGGCTCAAATTTTAGTCATCGGTTAATTTACATGCCGAAAACGAAGGCGCCGCGCGCGCATTAAAAGCCGGTTATATAGAACTGACCGATTTACTTCGTCCAGAATTCAGGACGAACAAAAACATAAAAAAAACTAAGAGCCTTATCAGTTTTCTTACTCGGGGGAATTGCTCTGATGTCTATCTTTCTGTTAATAACTGTGTTTTCACTGACCTTTATTACCTCTAATATAAATTTCAACTTGCGATAATGTACTACTTTATATGCATGTTTCTTTTGAACTACGTTCATTCTGCAAATTTGCTTTTTAAGTTAGAAAAAGCAATCCCACCAATTAAACCTTTCTCATAATAGATTTTCTAATGAAATTCTCAAATTATAAGTTTCTAGCCAGTAAGTTATTTGTCTAGTTTTCCAAGAAAACAACAACAGTAACTAGTAAGTTCCTTTACGGGAACAATAAGTATATCCAGTGTTATTCGATTCCAGAATTTTCGTCATTTGTGTCAACCGAATTAATATCTCGCGAACTTGTCAGAACGCATCTACTTCCTAGCCAATCGGTTCATAACCTATATTTATTGACAAAACATCACAATTGGGGATGCTATACTGTATCAGCTAATCCGCAATGTTTTTGTTACGTTTGAGATGTTTTGGCCTATTTTTTGTCTACGCCTAAACATCTGTAGCTGCATGAGACTGTCTAAGCCTACTACTATCACTCATTTGCACACAAAATTATTTGTTTAAGAGAATGCAAGCACGTATTATATAAATGTGGTTTTAAAAGGTCATCAGAAACATATGTTTTATATATGTAAACACATGCAGATCGGTGATGGAAAACGTACTGTGTGCTAATTGATAAATTTAAAAAATTAATTTCGGCTATCTAGCGTGACGTCAACATAAACATAGTTCAAAGTGATGAACTTGTGATATTATATAGCATATATTTAACAACTACAAGAAGTTTAATTAAAATATCTCAGTATAGCTAGTATAGTCTGATCAGCGGAACATCGAATATAATTCTGTATAACACTTCATAACTTAAGTTATTCACGTATTTTTTTAAAGTTTTTTTTTTCGGAATTTTGCGCACAAAATAATGCTAATCAAAATATCGTGCGCAAATACGTTGAATCATGAAATTGCGGTGGCCGTGGTCGGATGTAATGCGTCATATATTACTAGCTTATAATGTGTTTGCACAAAAATATCTGATTGCGCTAACTAAATGAATTAATTATTGCCAGGGGGTGGACTGTCACGCAAAAACGCAATGTGGTAATTCCATGGCGTGTTTGGTGGTCGCCCGGCCCTGTTCAATTCCTGCCTTACCAGCATTATGCTATTTATGTACACGTAAAGTAATCTTAAAGGGTGTAAACCCACAAATGGACCTACCGCTTGGAATTTGAATATAAATAGGACCGAGTTTTCGTTGAGAATCAGATTTTCACAGCACTTCGAAAGAAGAACGAAGCATTAGGAAGACATTGAAGAAGTGACAAATAGTGACATCGGCCTCTGTAAATCAAGAAGAAAATTACTGAAGATTGAAGAGAAGTTGAAGATTAGAAGAAATAAAAAAACAACATAAAAGGTATGCCTTTGTTCAGTACAAACGTGAATTTGTCCTCGGTATATTTTTGAAAGAAATCTCATTCTGGCTCGAACTCAATTATCTTTTGAAGATCAGTTTATACTTATCAAACTTTGCCTTACTTATGCAGGATAGTGTTAGCGTTCAGCCGTGGTACAAAACATCATTGCATATGGAGGTGTTAGCGTGCCTGATTTTGGAATAAAAAAAATGAAACTACATCGTCCCTCACTCTTCAGTTCTCTGTCATCAAAAATAGGCCCGACTGCCAGTTGGCCTCTGCCAGTCTGCTGAATTAATACAGTACAGTACAGTACAGTACTAAAGTGCAGCCAGTTTCCATTACTAATAACAATCGCGGAAGGCTTGTTGACATGCACACGCATCGATTTGGCATGCAGGTACTCAGAAATTTTCTTTCATTTTATAGAATGGAGAACATCAAACGTATCTTTGCGTTTTATGCCATGATCGCATTCCTTTTGGCATACTTGACAAATTTAAGCGGAGCAAGGCCAACCAATTTGTCAGAAGAGAATGTTGGAAATGGCTTGCAATCGAATCTAAATCTCAACAAACAAGATGTGGCAGCCATTTCAGAAGTTTGTCCACCTTGGATTGCTCGTCTACCAGGGGGATGCCGACGATTGCTGAGGCTCAAGAGATCCATATCAAAGCGTGATTTTTGTCCGTCATCTAATCCACGATGTCCACGAAAGAAAGGGTAAACATATTCTAATAGTAAAAAATGTTTTGTATATCACTGTAGAACGACTCTGACTCTTTAGAATGTTCATAAGAGCGGACTCTTATACTTTTGCATTCAGCAGTCATTTCACCTCATTGCAAGACTATTTTTTGAACATATACCGACACCGTAATTTAAAATTTTCTACATGAGATAATATATCAGACGTGTTTTTGCTACTCGTAAAATAAATGAATATATATCTGGTTAAAATAAATTAATATATTTCTCTTGTATGCATGAAACAGGCTGTTTGGCAACCTTTTGGGGGTAAAAAACTACTTATTAAAACTGCCGTTTAATTAAGGTATTTTTTAAATTTTTAATGGTTGAGGATGAAGTTCTTTGTTCCAGTACTTATATTTTAACGTATATTTTCCGAAGTAGTATAGCAGAATATATGCCTAGCTTTTGTGAAAGCAACTTGAGGGCTGCTGAGCAGGCTAATGAGGTGGTCGCGTACATATAAAAGATAAAACTGTCAAAGCCGCTGTAACCGTCATATAAAATTCAATCTGTGTTCATATACGAAATCTCACCTTACGCTAGGTGAGTACCAAGTGGGATAAAATTTTTCATATGTAGGCTTAATTTATCCCACCTGAATCGGGCAGCCTAACCTGACCGAGATGGTGGACATTTTTTCGGCCGATTTTGACAAAAGTATTGTATAGCATTGGACGCGGGCATGCACAGTTGGAAAATAGACTACAGTAAGACCCCGCGTATAAGGACCTAGATTTTAAGAACCGATTAAGCTAAAATTGCTTATTTAGACCCCCTTTATACAAGAACCTGTTTAGGCTAAAATTTCAAGCAGGTTCTTATTTTATTTTTATCACTGTAACAGTTGAAACTAGAAGTGTCAAAGAAAATAAACTCTTCACAAAGTAATGTCAAAACATAATAAGCAACATGTCTGTATATGAAGACATGAAGTAAATGTATCTACATGCACGTACCAACAGAAAACGATTCGCTTTTTCTTTAGAAAATCAGAACCTATCAAGAACCTGTTTAGCCTAATTTCGCGATAAGCACCATTTATATAAGAACCTGCTTAGGCTAACTCAGTGAAAAATCTAGATTCACTTGTACGCGGGGTCTTACTGTATCGTATTACAAGGTGCAGTTCGGTATTACAACAAAAAATATTTCGAAGGCGCCTTGTTTATACACAATGTCATCCCATCGAGACGGGATATTACGGTGGGGTAAAGACAGTCATATGAACAGGCCATCTCTCAGAGTAGCAAAACATGTCTGGTCCAATCTCACTGCACATATATACTTATGCATGACTAAACAAATTTTGTATTACATTTCCCAATGACCGTACAATTGTAAGTTATTGACTATTGTAAATAACTGATCGGCAATTGTAAACATACTATTATATAATACATCGCGTATTTATCCATATTATAAGTTTGTAAAGACTTTCATTTAAATTTATAAACATTGTAAATGCTAAATTTTTTAAATAAAGGAAAGTTATTTATTCTTTGAATTGCTCTTCTCAACAATACTTTTTGTTTCGCCCCAAGTTGTTCTGGTTGTCTTCGCATCAAGGAGTATCGCATCTGAAATTTGATACCGAACAATACAATTGTTAGATAGATATTGAATTTCTTGTGTCGTGTATCCTTTTTTTGAACGGGTTGTCTTATGTGTACAATGAACATTATATGGGAAATGTTGAAGGAGTTTCTCGAGTGTACATTTTATATATTTTTACTAATTTTACACCTAACCAGGAGTAAAATAGCTATGCGATTCCAATGCAACGCTCTAACCAACTGAGCTACAGAGGCAGTCGTCTACCTCTAACCGCAAGTTCGTGTATGTACTACTAAGGTGATTCATTTTTCGCAGATGCACCTGGTTAGATCCAAAAATGTACAAAATTTACACCCGAGATTTCCATTGACAAGTTGTCATATTATATTGGCGCAAATACGTTTAATTTGACCTATATAAAGCATAAACAAATCCTTTTTGTCATAAACAAATCTTAAAATTTTTGAGGTAGCAAGATCAACTGAGTGCAAGCGCAAGTGAGATCTTGGCTCTGTGTATGTCAAAAAATGTAAAACAAAGATACCTTGGTGCATTGCCACCAATAAGGACCTCCACATCGTTGAGCCAATCCGCTTCTCACCAAACCCATAAGGAGTAGACTAACTAGCACGAATCTCTTATATTGGAACATAGTAGGAATTTGTATATGTGACAAATCAGGTGGATAATTGCTTTGTTAATCCGTAAAACACAGTTCACTCTCTTACAATTCTCCAGGCGCTTTTACCACTTGTTTGGTGAAGGAAAATTTCAAATAGAGCTGGCAGTGATACAGAAAGCACTATTGTGGCTGTAGCACTTCGTTTTTATCGAGGAATCTGGTAAGCCGCAAGGCTGATACTGGCATTTAATATTTTTCCCTATCGTCTATGTATTTTTTTTATTCATTATTAATAACGTGATCGATTTCATGCACAATAAGGAAAACGAGACCGACAAGGAAGATATCGCCTAATGCAAAACTTAATTTAATAATAATTCATAAAGATTTCACTAATCAGTAGCTATGTCATCAAACATGATGCTCTAATTGTAATCGCAAAAACGCGGTGAATCTCCTTTCTGATCCAACGCGAAATTCCGAGCTATTCCCTTTTATAATATAATTGTTATCACCTACATAATATTTCATTAATTTCACTTTTATTCTACAAATGTAAACATAATTAGCATTGTTACTGTTCGTAATTAGAAGCCCAAAAGAGTGAGTATACGACTAAATGTATTTATCATGATAATTGCAATAACGACAGAACAATCATTCTAAATTATTTGTCTTCTACAAAACAGATAACATTGTTTTTCAGAATACAAAAGGGCGTCGACCCTTACGTCAACCCACACATTAATATATGTTACTTTCTACAATATTATTGGTTTTGAAACGTCTCTATAAAACACTTAAACACAAAAAGATTTATCTTCTATATCAGCGGAATAGCATTCTAGTTACCCATTCGGGCTTATATAGCTCATGTACTTAGTTTGTACTATAAAATGCTACGAGCCACGATCACTCCACGTTGCAAAAGAACGTGAAGAAGTCAGTGATTCCCCTACATCACTATACCTGCTCGGATCATAAGCAACTCTTTCATACTCCATACTACCTAAGATTTTACGAGGATCGGGGCCTGTTGCGAGTGGATTATGTGAGCCCGTAGTGATATCTAAATGATGTCTTCGTGACTGACCAGCGGTACGCATTTCTGGGGTAGGAGACCTTCCTCGTTCACGAATATCCGCATTGGATCTCTCAGTGTCACGACTTATCCTTCTCGGTCCTCTTGTTTCCTCCGTTTTGTCTTTCCATACTTCTTTACTACTTTTGTCATTCTTGATACTTCGTGAACGCTTTTCGGTTAATTTCTCGCTTCTTTTTCTTGTTTTGTTTTCAAAGCTTCTTGCTGAATGAATAGAAGAGACACTTTCCTTTTCTAAATAACGCTCAGTAGTCGCGCTCTTTGGCCGAGTAACAGACGTAACAGCAGGGATAAGTTTCTCCTTGTTGTGTTTGGTTTCGTTGTTAATACGTTGGGAATTACGAGACGAAACTGACTCGGCATAAAAATCCTTGTGTTTGCTTTCGTGGTGTTTATTTTCACCAGTTTTTTTCTCACCTCCTTTCTTCAACTTTCTTGTGGCTTCTAAATAGTTGGCCGAGCGTATGGAAGACATACTTTCTTCATCTAAGCTTCTTTGTGGTGATATCCTGGTAGCTTCTCTTGTTTTAGGCATCAGTTTCTCCTCTTTGTGTTTACTTTTTGATAAGATGTACGTCTTCGCTAATCCTTTCTCTCGTCTTTCAGAAATATATGAACCAGAGTGTTTGGAATCTAAACTGTGTCTTCGAGCTCTTTGTGGTCGTCTATGTTTTGCCATTGGAGTTGTATTTCTTGGCGAAGACTGTTGCTTGGCAGGTGATGTACTGGGCCTCGTTGAGAGACCGTATGCGTCGTTTCTCTGAAGGAGTACCTTTAAGATAGAGAGAAAAAGTCGTTGCTCTTAGTTAGTATATGCATCAAAACCAATAATCAAATAATCAATAATCATGCACAAATTAAAAATGAAACATAACAAAAAATATATCGGTCCATACTTTCTTATACGTAGCCATATCAATGTCGCTGGTTGGAAGAGGCTTCTCCCCCTTCTTCGCTGAAACGGAACTTTTATATCGTTCAGAATATTCTGTGTGGGAATTCCTAAAAAGAGTTTCTAGTTAGTCCTGTTTGTGTTTAACCATCATAAAGGCTGAAGCCCATCTTGCAGGGCCTTCGCTCGAAACGTCGAAGTTTTGCTTGTATTTTTCAGGTAGTTGAATCGCATCAACCCTAGTTACCTGGTATATTGAACAGTACCTGTTTTCTTCTTGAGAAGTTACTGGGTAAAGTAAGTCGTCCGATGGACGCAGGAGTCTTTTGTCTTCTGGATCTGCTACGTAGGTCGGTATACCCGCAGGAGGCAACCTTTCTGGAGACTTTTCTAAAAAAACGAATCAATAACTACCATGAAATTTTTTGTTGGTCTCAGATATCAGCTTTCAAAAGCTATTTGAACAGTGTTGAAATGCAATATAAATTATATAGGCTACATTAAGAAAATGAAAACATTTTTACTGTTTACATCCAGTTTCATCTGCTATACTTTTTGTAATGAAAATATTTTATGAGCAGATGGTTCATTTAAAGTACACGAGTGTCATGATCGTGAATGAATTATGTATTATTCTGTACCCATATGAGGTCTCTGCGGTGCAGCAGATCTTTTGGTCTGCCTTTTTTGATCTTGTGTTTTCCGCTTCATCTTTGCTTTACTAGCAAGAATTATTGGACTGTCTTCTTCAACCTTTAGTTTTGCAAAACAGGAGTTATATTCAGTGTCTTCCGTCTTCTTTGTATCCTATAAAAGACAAAGCAATAAATTACAAAAGAAAGATTAATTACTAAGCAATTTACTAACAGACTTAACAAAATAAACAGGATCCTCACCTTTCTTTTAACACTACCAGTAGATATTTCTTCATCTCCTCCATTTCCAACAGCTTCAAGCCAATCTCTATCGTTCAATTCCTTCACAGTACTTGTTGATAAAATATTGTGATTATTTTTGTACGGTACGATACGTTTCCGCTGAAGAGCAGGTTCGCTCACGTTCGTAAACTGATTGGAAAGAAGACCAGCCCTCCTGCTACTTTCCATAGCCTCTGGTGCACTGTCTGTAGGATGACTTAAAATCTTTGCTTTGGTGGTAACAGGTCTGTGAACTGCAAATGTCTTGTAGCGTGTATTGTACTCGGAGTTGAGCTACATGAAACAATACAGTATTAAATACAGTTAAACCACCGGTAACAATCAAATTGACCACCTACATACCTTCTTCAGACCCATATCCTAACAACTATAAAATAGATTCAGCAATCAGACTTTTTGTGAGGAAAATAATCGAAGAATAAAAATGTAAACAATGCTCAAAATTCAGTGCCTTGACAACCTAAAATTGTAACATCCTTTCACATCGCATTTCATGAAGTATAGGAGCACACAGATCGCGGGCTTATGTATCTCAAAATGGCGGCCTTGATAAGAGGACAAATTTTACACAATTTTGAAAACTCGTCTATTTCTGATTTTCCTCACTGGACAAATGCTCGCCATTTGACAGGGGTAAGATTTTAAGTATTCCTGTGATTGTGTGTTATGGAAAGTTTCGTAAATAAACGGTATTTCTGTTGTTTTTAGACCACAATTATGGCTGTGGAGTTTGCAGGTGGAGTTGTGATAGGTGCTGACTCACGGACCACTACTGGGTATATAGTATTTAGGAAATTTTGAAAGCATGCTTTATCATACTTGAGTAATGCACTTGTCAGTTGAAACTGCGGCCCCCGACCCCAGCGGCATAGCAGAATTTAACAATTCCTCTTGTTAATTGGGCCATTTAATGTAACCCCCCCCCCCCC